TTTTKKKTTTKGCTTATCTGAAAGGTGCTATAATCATAGGTCTCTACCTTCTCCTGAAGCATAGTGCGCTGGTGTTGCTCCAGTACTGTCTCCCTCCGTTTCACTAGCAAGACCATTARCAACCTAATAGCATAGATAMACTGAGGACTATTCTTTTGGTAGCCAGGTGTTTCTAGCCGCTCCAGGGCCAGAGAAACACCCTTGGCGCAAAATTTCTCATTGCGGCTAAGAACGCCTGGCTATCTTGTTGAAGAAGCGGTAGAAAATCCTTACCAAGTATCCTATGCAATCTAAATGCCCATTCTGTGCAGCGGCATGAATCAAATGCATTCCGTCTCGACTTCTTAACTCACACTTTGCTCCAACTGTGTGCAAGTACTTAAGGCATGGGAAGTGTCCATTCTGTGACGCGATGAAGATTGGCGTTGTGCCATCTGTAGCTCTCTCGTCTAAGAGTCTATTATAAATTGATTTTGTCAAGTTTTTTTTATTTATCTTTGAGATGCTGTTATGATATWTAATTTTCCTATGGCRACATGCCTCACAATAGCATTGSAAAATACGCTGCTGAATAGATTTTAACCTTCTTACACTCTACAATTCTCTCAAACATAAAAAGTGCGTGTTTTGACGAATGATACAAGAAAAAAAAAGAAGAGATTTACACTGAAAAAGTAATTCAAAAGGATAAAAGACATTGGTATCACGAAGTTTTCGAATATTATTCAAGCTATTGTTGAATTGTCGCGAATAAAATTAAAATTAAACTATAACTAAATAAATATATTGTATTCCTTTGCCACTAGGCTCGAGTGCTTCAATACGTAATAGATTTATAGTAGAAACTTCGCTTGTTTGAATTTTTTTCTTAAGTGTTTAAATTCTTTATTTATTGGGAGCTTCAGAAACTTTATTTCAGGACGTGTTGAACAGGTGTTTAAGCCATAGAAATTTTAGTTCTTGACAATTTAAGCAACGATCTAAATATAAAACCCCGAATGCCTTCAAATTATTTGTCAAAAGCAGGCTAAAATTGCTTGATAAAAATGTTGTTTTTATAGATTCAATAAGCATTGACACCTTTGACTTTTCAATAATAAAAATGACATGATTGTGTCAGGAATTTGGAATAATTGTTTTGAGATTAATTACTACAGAGCATAAAAATTGTTTTTAAAATTTCGCTGCGTACGGTAATTCTAAGAAGAATTATATATAATAAATAGGGTTAAACTTAGGCAGAATTCTTATCTTTCATAACGTATGTATTAAAGAAGTTTTGCTTACATCGTGTTCCCGCTGGAGATAAGAAACTCCAAGCAACTCAGGTGACCACCCGCTGCAGCGAAGTGAACTGTATTCATTCGGTTCATCGTCTTCAATCTCGGGTTGGACTTAGCTTTGTTAATCATCCATTTTACAATGTCTACATAACCAAAACGAGCCGCTAAATGAAGTGGTGTGTGCCCCGAGTTATCRSWAACATCRGGATTCAAYTGGCATTCTTGTACGAARAACTTGACGCACAAAAGCTTGCCTTGTGTACASGCATCGTGAAGCGGTRTAGCSCCATTATTTGCCTTAACYTTTGCCTTCATTCCGACTTTCTCGACCATCCATCGAACGCATTCAAGTTTGCCATGTCGAGTTGCATGGTGAAGGGCTGTTGCGCCAAAACTATCCGTCGCGAAGGGAACAGATCGCCTAAAAGACTGTAGCGCCTTGATATCTCCATCTCGAGCGGCGGAAAGAACTTTCTCTGCCTCTTCGGCCATTCTTCAACTTGAATCAAAAGGTCATACTTTTGTTTAGAAACTTTGTTTGTCTTGATCAACCACAGAATGATACAACTTCATGGAAACTACGGGAGAAAGATCTCGAAGTATTAATTATTAATGGCGGAATTCATGCTAATGCGTTGACGGAGACACATCCTGCATATTCTGTGGTATCCAAGGATGATATCATGCCCCCGCTTTTAAACAAATAAATCCAGCATGAATTTATTCTAAATAAAAGCTTAGGACATCTTAGAAGACAATTTTCTCACGCAAAACGTTTCTTCGTTGCCAMGTTAAATTCAAAATTTAACCCCAAAATTCCGTAGCTATGWAAGCCCTTAGCATAAAAGCTTCCTTCCAATAGCTCAAAACCCAACACCGCATCCAGAAATACTGCTCTTTCGAAAAGCTTCCAAGTGAAAATCTCAAAAATAATAAAATTGTCAAAAACATCGTCCTTGTCCGCCATGTTGGACGCGCTTGATAAAAACCTGGTAACTAAGATATGGGCCCGCATTGTTTACACAGCTGTTCTACACAATATACATGCGCATTGAGTTGAAAGACAAAATGGCGGACGCTTCGCAACAAAAATCGTCAAATTCTATCGCTGTTTCTAGCTCAGTTGCCGCGGCAAATCCTGTAATATCGACGCAATCTGCTCAACCAACAACAGCTTCAGGGAATGCGCAGGCCGCTTTGCAACAAGATACTAAAGTTAGGACCGCAGGGACTTCGTTAGCAGAGTTCTTGTCTCAACTAGATGATTATACTCCGACGGTAATATAGTTAATCACTTCAGCRTATTCAACACATAAAACAATATAGWCTCACTGTCTTTAGCTCTGAAAATTRTTGTTTGCTATTAAAGATCTTTAAGWAGTGTATGGTGTGTGTCAAAACAATGTTATTTCTAGCTTYCTTTCGCAATTTCGAAGTGTCAATCTTTTTCTTAAATTAAGCTTTCACGAACTGAAGCGTGCCTGATTTGTGCTTTCATGAAGCATGCTTGTTTTTTTTTACCAAAATACGTAATTAATCAATATTAATAGTGTAACAATGTGAATTTTATGTATGTCTTTTGCAGATTCCAGATGCTGTTACGGCGTATTATCTTAACCGAGCTGGATTTGATGCAACAGATATCCGAGTGTAAGTACAAAGTACCAATACTCCATTTCACAGATTGAGAGTGCCATCTTGAAAGGTAGCCAAGATCCTTTTGAGAACCTGTGCATCAAAGTACCTGAAATATTGAACCTGCAGTGATCGATACCTTCTATTCACACCTAAGAAAGCTCATCCTGTCTCTTGGTTACCTTTCAAGATGGCTGGGAGCAGTGAAATGCAATATTCACGTCCTTGTCTACCATCTAAAATTGTGGCAAAATGTGTAGTTTCAGAAAATATCCATACCCCCACCACGGAGGATATTTCATTTATGACCCCCGGCCCCCCTGGAATTTTCAATTTTTGACCGATTTTTTACAACTCTTCCCTAACCCCCCACCCCTCCGGAATTTCCGATAAAAAGGCAGGTATCACCCCCAACCCCCTCGGAATTTCCGTCAATAC